TCCTTCCTGTTCTCCTCTTCATCTCTCTTATCCTCACCCTTTCCTTTGTCCTTTATCATGAAGCATATGGCACAGCCGTATGCACATAGCAAATGTTTGATAAACACATGGTGAATTCATTGACTTGTCCAGTTGGCCATCAAGGTCACCTCATATATAGTTGGAGCTTTTCCCACAAACACTGGATGCATATCTTCCCTGTGCCTGGCATCATGCTAAGTCCCCAGGGCCCATTAGCACATGTAGCAGGCAAAGTAACTGTGCCCTGTGAAGCTCCTGTCACCATGGAACGTGGTTTACACCTTACATTGCCCTAACTCTGAATATTCTAAAGAGATTTCCAGACTTATCTTAGTTGATTCCGTGATAACCCTATGACACAGATATCACCATTTCCAGTTTGCACCTGAGAAAGCAAATATAAACGATTACCCCAAGGCCATGCAGCTGGGGGGCCAAAACTGAAACTCAAACCCAAGTCTTCGTGAGTTGTCTAAATTTGCTGTGATGACCTGCCCCACTGAGGTCTCTGGAAGGCCCCTGCAGAATAATGAGATTATTCCCTAGTTGTTTTCCTTCCATTATGGGGAAGATTCTCAGTTCATTCTTCATCCTGACTCCCCCTGGGTCAAAGTAATGCTTAGTGAGGAATTATAGCCCCCTCTCCACACCAAAAATAAGCAGTGTCAGGGCGGGAGCCAAGTGCCTCTGAGATAGCCACTGAGTGTCATGATTACTCAACTGAGTGCTTAGTGGGAGCTGTCAATAATAACAAAAGAAGAACTATAACAAATTTGATATCTTTCTGAAAACTTGCAAAACCTGAGAAGCTAGCCTGTTTTAAAACAGGAAGCACCATTGTTTACTACCTCACTAACATCTGTGATCAGACAATATCTCCACGTCTTTAGTGGTGAGACCTGAGTGACCACTGGGTGACCAGAGGACTTCACTAAATCACCAGGTACCACTTTGTTCTCATCTGGACAAGAACATACTGAATTGCCACAGAAGGTGCTTATTTAGAAGATCATTTCCAGGTAGGCTGGAAAAGAGAAATGTATCCAAATGTCCAGGAGGTAAAAGAAATACCTTCCAGAGTGCTCTTGAATCTAGGGGGAAGGAGGTGGGGGTAACTGGCAATTGAGAGGTGGTGTGGGGCCAGAGAGGGAAAGGGTGTTACTAAATATGTCCATTTTCTTCTTGCCTTCTCCTCAATCTTCCTTTTCTTTCTCCTACTCATACCATGATATGTTTGCCTCTTGCACTCATCCAAACTTGGCTTTTTATACCTCTTCAATCAACATTATCTTGTTATCTGCCCTGTACATTCATCCATTCTCAACGGTTGAGAATACCACCACTCCAGAAATGTTAGGCTCAGTAGTTCATTTTAATTGATATTGAATTGTGAGAACCAGTGAGTGAAAACATAACTCATAGCTATGTGTATTTTTTCATTAAATATGTATATGTACAAATATATACTTAATCCAAATTTGCATTGAAAAGCCACTCAAATGCAGGCTATTAGTTGATGATGGATGTGATGTCTTTTTGTCTGGATAGATGAGGTTGACTGATTTCCTTTCCTAGATCTGTGCTGGAAGATAGACATAGGAAGCCCTGTGTTGTCTTTTGGAAAATGCTGGTTTGGCTTAGGATGAAAGTTTACTCTTGTTTGATGAGTGCTTCAAGGGAGAGTGGTGGGAAGTTGGGTCCTCAGTACATGAGAGGCTTGGAGCTGGAAGGCACCTACATCTCTCTTCAGCAGGTGATGCTTATGTGGAAACAGGAGGGCCCAGTTATTTCTCCTGGGGGAGGGTAGGGGGGGATGTGAGCCCTGTATATGATTCAGTAAGAAAAAAAGCAGACATAATCAGCATAATAAATTTAGTGCAGAGCACAAGCAGATATTTCACAGAAAAGTAAATCTGAATGACTAATTAGTTTAAAAGACCCCCTCAGTAACCTAATAAATGTTAATTACAACAGCAATGACATTTCTTATGTCCATCTAACTGGCCAAGTGATTTTATTTTCTTTTATACCATCTCCCTGTTGATGGACATTTGCTGAAACTGGCACCAACATCTTCAGAGCCAAGAGCACACACACACTTTCTGGAAGCAATTCGGCAAAATACATCAAGAGGCTTAGAAAAATGATTAGAGATAGAAATTGTGATTGGGAGAGTGTGCTTTAAGGAAGTAACTTTTAAAATGTTTTTAATGGCTGTATTATTTATAACAGGGCAAACTGGGAATGACTTTATCATACAAGAGTATGACAGTGGTTAGCCATGAATGTCTTACACAGTGTGTTGGAGTCATTACAAATTATTTTTTCAAATAATTTTAACCACATAGAACCGGGTGCAGAATGTGCAATTTAAAGTATCAGAATACAATATAATATACAAGTATGCTCTCACTTACAACATACATGGTACCTAGGAAAGACACAGTGGATCTTTCTCTGTGGCACAACTGGAGGTGCGGGTATGGGGCCCTGGGCAGCTGAGCACTCTGGCTATGCTGACCACACTACTCTGTGTAGACACACCTTCTTCAGGAAAACATACCTTTCATGACCACCTCTTTCAACTAAATAACATCAGCCTGTATTCAAAACTAAAAATCAGTTATATTTGAAATACCTATTATTCAAACGTAATGGATAAGTCTAGTTGGGGGGCATGAAGGTTGTTTAAAAATATCCAAAATCAGCTGACAGCTGTGGTTGGCAGCTGAGGAAGTCCATGTGCCACCCTAAAATAGATATGTGGGGAAATGTTTGCAACTTGGAGGAGGCAGCACTAATTTCAGCTTTAAGATATTCTTGTATATTTCTAGGGAGGAAACTCCCTCCTTCTGCTCCTGTGCCGTTTTCTGAAAGTTCTTCCCCAATTGGGCTGAATCTGTTTCCTCCCACTCCATTAAATTTCTGTTCTCTAGAGTCTACTCTCTTTTGTACAGGAAAACCTATCACATCATAGATTTTTCTATCTTAAAGAGACCTAGAAATTGTCTAATCTAATCCTTTAATTAATTATTTCTGTGCCAGATAGCATTACAGATTTATTAGATTACAGATTTATGTGTGAAGATTGAATTAGTCTCTTTGTGCTATCTCCCGGGGTTGGTTCTGGGGTCACTCCTGGGAGCCATACAAAATTCTGATCTCATCTACATAGCCAGTATATTGCTTGCTCTCGAGAGTAACCCCCCTGGCTTCTTCAACTCATCTTTACTGGATACGGTCCCCTCCTGACTGCATTTCAATTGGACAGTGTTTGCATTACAGGTAATGTAGACACAGCTGGATATCTTTTATGAGACTGGGAAATGATCACTTCCCATAATCCACATACAATATTTTACTAATTTACATAAATCAATGAAGATTAAGTTAGATTAAATTACAGGCACATGCAGAAAGCTTTATAAAATTAACCCCATCACATGCTAACTTTATGGCCAACTAGAATCATAAGAGTTTTTATGGAAGTATGGATGCGCAGTGTGGGTAATCTAAATGTCTCTTAATAGAAAAATCACCAAAATCACCCCTTAGGCAGGGCTGGGAATTGAGAGGGGAGAGAGTTAAGGAGATTTCATGTTTGTCAAAAATCAAATCAAATTTAAAAATGATAGAGGTTTATTTTGCATACAATAAGATTAGTCTAAAACCTGGGAGACTTGGAGCTCAAAGTGGGAAGAAATAAGAGATCAATGGAATAGAACAAACAGTACACAACAGAATCAGCAGTGATCCTAAGGCAAAGGTGACAGTTCAAAGCCCAGGGGAAAGGGGTCAACCCACAGAACTACTATAAACCCCCAGGGGTTCCCCTTCTGATGGTCACTCAGAGGTTATCCAAGTGCAGTATCCAGCCACATTTGTCAAGAGGCTAAGCCCTAGCAAGAGAAGAGCAGAGGTCCTTGGGTTATCCCCAAACTTCAGAATGTTCCAGAAGCACTAAAAACCTCAGGGTGGGAAGAAGAAGAGAAAATGTGGGCCTGAGAGGCATCGTGGGCCCAGCATCCTCCTGAGTGGAGGTGTAGGCTGTGGTCACCTGAGGGCTTCTCAGTCCTTGAGAGGAGCTAAACCAAATCCCAGACCTTAAGAGGAAGTCTCCCCTCTCCCAGTCTTGGTGGTTCTATGTGGACCCTGGCCCAAAGCTAAAGAGGAGAACCCAGCTACTCACTTTTCTATACTTGGAAAGAGTAGTCCAGTGCTTTATGCCATGTGGCCTCTGACCCACATTTCTGACCTCACTCAGTTTGTGGTTTCAAGTTCGGAAGGGTCATCCCTTCACCTGGTAATGTGCCTGGGCTTCCATCCCAGTGGCCTGTTGGGGAATGAGTCTGCCAGCTCTTCCGGGAGGCCCTGCTTGGGAACACTGGTGTTCAATTATGGTTTAATTGATAAAGAAATTGAGCAAAACTGAAAATTTTATGACAAAGCCACCATGAAGTTTAAAGCAGCACAATTCACAATAGCTAAATTATGGAATCAACCCAGATGCCTGTTAATAGATGAATGGAATAAGAAATTGTGATACACACGCACACACATGCACACACACGCACACACACACAAAATGGAATGCTACTCAGCCATAAAAAGAATGAAACTATGGCATTTCCCAGTAAATGGATGGAAATGGAAAGTATCATACTAAGTGAATTAGCCAAACTCAGAAACTCAAAAGTCAAATGTTTTCTCTCATATATGAAAACTAGAATAAAATAAAGGAAAGGGGAAGGGAAGGATAGGATAACATAAAGAACCAATCAAATATAAATTAATAGATGAGAAAAAATAAAGTCTAGTAGAGTATAGGAAAAAGGGGAGGGGGAAGGAGGGCATAAGGAAAAGGGGGAAGGGAAATGGGGGAATTATGAACCTAAATTGATTTCCATTTATGTATTTGTCAAGATAAACTCAACTGCTATGCATAACTATAAAGCTTTAATAATAATAATAATAATAATAATAATAATAATAGCAATAGCAATAAAATCCCCTTAAAAATAAAATAAGACAGTAGGCTCTCATTCTGGTCAGTCTTGTATAATGTATGCGTATCTGCACAGAGAGACGTTAATGGTGGTAAACTACGTGATGAGATTTGGGGTCATTTTTACTTTGCTTTTGTGCTTGCATTCATATTGTTTGTTTGCTACCACCCTATCACTTCCCCAAAAATGCAAAAAGCCTTTTTGAAAATCCCAATTCAAACTCTTGACTATCTTGAACCTAAGTATTATGCAATTGAGTCAGGTTAGACGGATGACAGCCGTGTTAGCTCTTACATCTCTGAACCCACGAAACGAGGAGTCAAAGCCCAGGCTGTGGATGGGAGGGCCTGCATGACTCGGGCAGCCCTGAAGCCTCAATCAAAAGATCCTATGCACTCGTCATACTGGTCATGTTGATCATATGAATTAAAGACACTATCTCCAATTGAGCAAACTTGAATGAATTTTCCTTTAAAGTTTGGCTTGTTTCTAAGTTACTCTGAGAGAAAAGAAAAGTACTACAAATAACGAATGGTGTGTGGAAGCTCTCTGTATTTGCCCTCTGAAGAAACTGCTCTGTTCCTTCTTGTTTTAGATGCAGAACTTTCAGAGGACACTTGGGGTGATTTCAAGTGCAAAACAGACAAAATGATGGGGAGGTTTTTTTCCTCAGCTGCTGGAAATAAGAACGCTGTTGGACTTAATATCAATTGATCCTCAATTCCACATTGGGCTTCCAAAGCCAGGAATATGTATGGGATGGGAAGAAGATGTATCTAGGCGGAGCCATGAAAATAGATCAACAGGGGTCGGCTTTTTCCCCATTTCACCAGAAATGGCTTCTCCTGACCTTTCTTCCACTCTTGTTTCTTACATGATTTACGGCTTTTTCAAGTTCAAAATGTGATTTTATATACACGATTTCATTTCATTTCCTTATGCTAGCTCTCTTGTGAGAGATTTTCTCAAAACAACAACAACAACAACAACAAAATAACATGGTGTAGTCAGTGTAGATATGAGCATCCCACAACTCAGTTGTAACATTGATGCTACACCATTGTATAGAAACAGAATGCCCAACCAGAAATGTGCGTCCCCTTGAATGGGAGACAAATAACTAACAAAAGTATATGAGGCTATACCGCCTGCACACAGGGCTCAGCCTCTGGAAGAGAATCTGCTGAGCCCAGTGCGGGTACCAAGAAACACTGCTTCCTGCTGATAGCTCTGGTATCATGTGCCTCTGTCCCGGAATCCCACAACTTTTCTCAGGAGCTTGTGATCTGGAGACACAAGCCCTGGTACTGGAGGTGGGCCCTGGACACAGAGAGGTGACCTTGTCTGGTGCCAGTGGACTGATAAATCCATAGGAGACAAGCCCTTCCAGCAGGCTGGAGCAAGAAGCCTGGGAGCACAAAGGAGCCCAGTGAGGCCCAGAAATCAGTGCAGAAACCAATGCCCATTGGACAGGTAGGAATCCAGGTTCAAGAGGTAGACCTGCCCTGAAGTGGCAGAGGGGAGAGACTGATCACCTCCCAGAGTTGCCAGAGAGGAAACTGCAACTCTAAGGGACTGGGTGGCAGGCTGGAGACACTGTGTGAATGGTGTCGGAGTGAGAGGGGCTGAGCCCAAAGCGAGGGCAGAGTCCAAATCTGCAGTTCCATGGCAATCCTCCCTGCAAGGGCTACGCGCCTGGTCCAATGCTAAGAGGTGCCTGAAATATCTCCATAAGGAGAATGGCTGGAGCCAGACAAAGCAATTGCTCACCCCATCCCCTTCCCTTTTCATGTGTGATTGTCAACTTTTAGGGGGAGGAAATGGATAACAGAGTAAGATCACCCCCTTATATTGTATGGTAAAGAACTTTAAAAGGGGATCACTAGATAAAGAGCTACAGGATCAGGTGCCCAAATTAATTTGAAACTAGAGAAAACAATTTTCACTTTTAAATAAATGGTTGTTTTCTCTAGTCTTATGCTCTGGGACTCTGCCAAGTTCCTCCCTAATGCTGGAGAACAGGAGAGATAGAAGAGGGAAGGGATCTGGAAAGGCTGACTAGACCAGGTCCTGGACCTCTTTTTTTTTTTTTTTCCCCTCTGAGTTGTCCTTTATTCCTATTTCACAGATGAGGAAATCAGGCTGGCCCTTCTGACAAGGGAAAGCACCACGGTCTGACTAAGCGGTCACTGGCTGAGAGCAGCCATCTGCTGGCTGGGAAAGGGGTTGGGTGGGATGCCCTGGGCAGGGATCTCAGGGAGAGTGAGTGGGACAGTGTAGAGGCAGGAGGCATGGAAGAGAATTACACATAGAGATGGAACACCCCGTTCCTGCTGCATAAGTGCCACTAGCCCTGCTGCATAATATACCTGCCATCATCCAGCTAGCAGATGGTAGATCCTGGACCTTTTAAGGATACTAGAAAGATCTGTATTGTGTCCTGGGACAATACATGCATTTCCCCAAGCTGCAGGGTCAGCTCTATCATTTTGTGCAAATGCCTGATAAGAGAGCCTGACAGAGCTGGGAATGTCAGGGGACACCCTACTTCCGGTGGGTTTTATCCTGCTCTCCAGCTGGGCATAAGAGGGGAAAAAGGAGGAATCCCATAAGTGACAAATTTTCTTTTCTTTTCTTTTTTTTTTTATATAACTAATTTATTCAGGACTCTTATGGAGGAATGTTGAGTTTTATCAAAGACTTATTTCACATGATATGGTCATGTGATTTTTTATCCTTAATTCTATTTATATACTGTGTTATTTTTATTGATTAATGTATATTGATCCATACCTGGAATGAAACCAACTTGATTATGCATATGGAATTTTTAATGCTGATAAATTTGATTTCCAAGTATTTAATTGAGGAATTTTGCATCTATGCCCATCAGAGATACTGACCTATAGTTTCCTTTTGCTGTTGTATCTATCAAATTTTGGAAGCAGGATAATTCTGGCTTTATGGATGAGTTTGGAAGGGTTCCTTCCCTTTCCACTTTATTGACTAGTTTGAGGGGTACTAGGCATTTGTCTTTCTTAAAAAGTCTTGTCAAATTCAGCAGTGAATCCATCTGGACTTCGGCTTTTCTTTGTTGCTGCTTCAATGTCATTACTTGTTGTAGATGTATTTAGGTTTTTTAATATCATTTTGGTTCAGTTTTGATAGGTCAGATGTGTTCAGAAATGTATCCATTTCTTCTAAATTTTTCCAATTTATTGGAATATAATTTTCTAAAATATTCCCCAATGATCTTTTCAGTAGTATCTCCTTTTTTTAAAATCTCCAATTGTATTTATTTGGGTCTTCTCTTGCTTTCTTTTGGTTAGTTCAGCTATAATGTTCTCAATTTCATTTATCTTTACAAAGAACCAGCTCTTTGTCTCATTGATCCTCTGTATTGTTCTGTTAGTCATTTTTATTTCTGCTTTACTGATTTGAGCTTATTTTTTCTTTCTTCTTGTTTTTTCCAGTTTGTAAATCTCTATTTTAATGATACTTTTCATAACATTAATAATAATATTTCTCAAATATAAAATTCATAACATTTTATAAAAAACATAAAATATTGATTGGATAAATGTGAAATGTTTTACTTCCCATTTATGTCTTTTTTGTTTGTTTGTTTGTGTTTTCCTTTTTTCTTGTTTTTCCAAGAACTTGAGATGTATCATTAGGTTATAAAGTTGAGATCTCTGTCTTTTTGATACAGAGATTCATGCTGTTAACTTCTCTCTTAGTAATGCTTTTGTTGTATCCCACAGACTGGTATATTATGTTTCTATTTTCATTTGTATTCTATGATTTTTTTTAATTTCTCCTCTAATTTCTTCAATGATTCACTATTTGTTCCATAGTGTGTTGTTCAATCTCCATGTGTTTGTATAATTTCTGTAGTTTCTCCTACTGTCAATTTCTAGTTTCATTCCATTGTGATCTGATAAGATGCAATAAATTATTTCAATTTTTTTTTTTGTTTTTTAGTTTGTTAAGATTTGTTTTATGGACTAACATACAATCTACTTTGGAAAAGTTCCATGTGCTGATGGAAAAAAAATGTGTATTATGCAGCTGTTGATTAGAATATTCTGTAAATGTTTGTTAAGTGCATTGGATCCATAGTGTAATTCAAATCTGATATGTTATTGTTGGTTTATATTTTCTGGTCAGAAAGATCTACTATTGGTGAAAGAGTTATATTGAAGTTACCCACTATTACTGTATTGGGACTTATCTGTCCCTTTACATCTAGTAGTAACTTTATCTTTAACAATTTTATCTATCTTATAAAGTTTGGTGCTCCAATGTTCAGTACACATATATTTATAATCATTATACGTTTTTGAGGAATATCTCCCTTAATCAATATGTAGTGACCATCTTTGCCTCTTCTAGTTGATTTTTGGCATAAGTCTGTTTTGTTGGATATAAAGATAACTACTGCTGTTTGCTTTCTCATTGAATTTTCTTGGAATATTTTGTCCATCCTTTCACTGTCAGTCTGTGCATATGTCTTTAGAGGGTAGGTGAGCTTTGTGCTGGCAGCATATTTTTGGGTCCCGTTTTTAATCCAGTCACCTAGTTTGTACCTTTTAATTAGAGAATTAAAGACATTTAAACTAAAGGTTGTTATTGAAAGGCATATAAATGTTTTGTCATTTTGGTGATTTTCTTCTGGTTGATTTGAATACTCTATGTTTATTCCTTCCTGTCTTATTCATACTTCATGGTTTACTAATTGATGTTTAATTCTTTTCTATATCTCATTTGTATGTCTACTCTTCTGGGGAGATTTATTTTTCATTCTCTTATGATTGTGTAAATACAAATTTTCTTTTCCTTAAAAAACATTTAGGCCTCAACCTTCTTTAAATGTCTGAGCTGGCTCTAATCTGATCCAAATTTACACTCTGCTCTGATAAAGATATTTCGTGTGCTCCTTTGCTGAAATAATTATGATTGTGCTCTTCCTTCGGTCTAAGTCTTTTTTGGAGCTCATAAACTGAAGTTTATGCCCTCTATTTTTCTTTCTTCTGTCCTTATTCTGAGGCCAGTTGTCCAAGGGTTAACTATCTCTCTCTCTCACACACACACACACACACAGAGAGAGAGAGAGAGAGAGAGAGAGAGAGATCTCCTTTGAAGACTCCTAGGTTTTAGGATTCTATTGAGAAGCAAAGACAATTCCTTGCCACTTCTAAAACTTATTTTTAAGAACACTCATTAACTTACACGTCCACGTCCTCACATGTGTCCCTTCCCTGAGAAAGGAGAAAGCCAACAGCCCTTCCTCCCTTGAGCGAGCAGCACATGGACCAGTTGTACTTCACCAGACTCCTGCCTCATCTCATTTTCCTCTTTCTCCAGGGAAGTCCTAAGAAAAACAGGCAAGGGCAGGATGTGGAGGGTGGGAGGGACCCAAGGTAAGGGAAAAGGGTGATCATGAACAGAAACCTATTTCCATGCAAATGAGTTTGTTGGGATGAACCCAACAACTATGTATAACCATTAATCTCTAATAAGATAAATAAAAATTACATTAAAAAAGAAAAGAAAAAACAGGCACTGGTTCTACAGTTCCTGATCTATAAAAATAAGTTGAATAAGAAATTCCTTTGACCAACCCCTCCTGTTCATCTTCTTTGTGAAGAAGCAGCTCTCCAGAGTTTTCTGTTGTCACATATAAAGGTCAATTTAAATTGTTGACTTGATTGGATTAAGAGATGCCAAAGATTAAGAGGCTTCTGGGTATGTCAATGAGGGTGTGTCTAGGCATGTGGAATAGCCAACTGAAGTGGAGATGCTCCCTAAGCATGGGCAGCACCATTCAATAGGTTGGAGGCTTAGATGGAATAAAAGTTGGAAGAACTAGGAAGCAGCAGCATATGCAAGCTGGATTCTCCTAAACACATTCTTGTTTGCTGCTTCGATCACCTGAGGACATCAGACTCCAGCTCCTTCACTCTTCCAAGGTGGACTCTGCCAGTGATTCTCCAGGGGGGTTCCAGAAGCCTTCGGTCCTGGACTGGGATAGCATCATTGATCCCTCTTGTTCTGAAGCTTCAGCCTCTGGACTGCCCAGTGACTGGTTCCTCCAGCTCTCCAGCCTGCAGATGGCCATTATGGACTATCCAGCTTCTGTTTTTTTAAGCCAATCTAATAAATCCCCTTTTTATAACCATACCGCCTGTTGGTTCTGTTCCTCTGGAGAACCCTGACTAATACAGCACATTTCTGCTTAACTCAGCATTACTAAGAGCAGGAGAAAGAAAACAACCGAGGTTAATGCGGCCTAACATTGCAATAATTTCAATTGTTATTAATAATTACAATAGCTAAATCAATAAAAGTTAAATTTTAAAATCCTTGCATTTAAATCTAGTCATGACAGAACTGGACATGGCTAGAAACTGAAGATCCAACCCAAACTTTTACATTTACTTGTTAGAGGATTTTGAATAAATTACTTACTTTCTTCAAGTTTCAGTTTTTCCATTCATTACGAGGAACATGTTGCACATCATTATAGGGCATGGGAAGGACTGGTTATTTATAATAATAATTATTATTACTACTATTGTTATCAACATTTTGTTTTAAAATATGAAGATAATGATTTTGATAGTCACATTTAAACTATAAGACATAAAATGCAAAATGTTTTAAAATATGCAGTCGTAGATAGGAATGGTGGCTCACACCTGTAATCCCAGTGACTCAGGAGGCTGAGGCCGGAGGATTGCAAGTTCAAGGCCAGCCTCAGCAACTCAGTGAGACCCTAAGCAACTTAGTGAGACCCTGTCTCAAAACAAAAAAATAAAAAGGACTGGAGCTATGGCTCAGTGGTAAGACCCCTGGAATCAATCCCAGTACCAAAACAACATAACAGTTTATGGTGATAACAATTAATATATTATTATCGTTCTCCAACTTGTTTTTCTATTTTGAACTTTCTTCTTTAAAAGCTTTCAGAACTCAATATCCCCATTCTTCAGCCCCATCCTGCAACATTTCTGTTTCTTTTCCCATCGAGGATCATGCTGACTTTGAAAACTGCAGATCTTCCGGAGGCCAAAGCCCCCTCTACCCTCAGCATTTCTGACTTGTCATTGGAAATCGGTGCAAAAGAACCTTTAAAATGTGCTGGCAGCTCATCACGCCCTCTCTGGGTAAGCACATCATCACCTGGTGTGCTTTGGCCCGTGCCTAACTGCGGGACTGTCTTTTCTTCTCTTCCAGGGACGAGCAGAATGGCTACCTCCTTCCCCGAGACTGAGCTGGCCCTGGAGGCAGTTGGAACCACACCCTACGACTATGACTGGGCACTGCCCTGTGAAAAAGTCAATATCAAGGAGCTGGGGTCGCGGTTTCTGCCCCCGCTGTACTCCCTGGTGCTCGTGGTGGGGCTCCTGGGCAACGTGGTGGTGGTGCTGATCCTCACCAAGTACAGGAGGCTCAAGGTCATGACCAACATCTATCTGCTCAACCTGGCGATTTCTGACTTGCTCTTTCTCTTCACTCTTCCCTTCTGGATCCACTACGTTGGGTGGAACGAGTGGGTTTTTGGTCCTTTCATGTGCAAGCTCCTCTCGGGGTTTTATTACCTGGGCTTGTACAGCGAGATCTTTTTCATCATCCTGCTGACCATCGACAGGTACCTGGCCATCGTCCACGCCGTGTTTGCCCTTCGAGCCCGGACGGTGACTTTCGGTGTCAGCAGTAGCATCTTCACCTGGGTCCTGGCAGTGCTGGCGGCCCTCCCCGAATTTATCTTTCATGAGTCCCAACAGGGCTCCGAAGAGTCTGTCTGCAGTCCTCTCTACCCAGAGGACGAGGAAGACAGCTGGAAGCGTTTCCATGCTCTGAGGATGAATATCTTGGGTCTCGCGCTCCCTCTGCTCATCATGGCCGTCTGCTACTCTGGGATCATAAAAACACTGCTGAGATGCCCCAACAGAAAAAAGTACAAGGCCATCCGGCTCATTTTTATCATCATGGTGGTCTTTTTCATTTTCTGGACCCCCTACAACCTGGTTCTCCTTCTCTCTGCTTTTCAAATGAACTTACTGGAGTACAGCTGTGAGCGCAGTAGACATCTGGACCTGGCCATGCAGGTGACGGAGGTGATCGCCTATACCCACTGCTGCGTCAACCCTGTCATCTACGCCTTCGTCGGCGAGAGGTTCCAGAAATACCTGCGCCATTTTTTCCACAGGCACGTGACCATATACCTGGGCAAATACATCCCATTCCTTCCTACCGAGAAACTGGAAAGAAGCAGTTCTGTCTCCCCGTCTACTGGGGAGCCCGAACTGTCTGTTGTGTTTTAGATCAGGTGCAGAAAACTGCCTGTCGAAGCCGGACTAGGCAGGTGAAGCTAACACACTGTGTCAACAACATTGAACTCTGGGACAGGTCTTTGAACTTTCAGCACAATAGCAAAGCTCTTGAAGACCTTAAAACATATGCAATACGGGCAGTGTGGTGCTTACACCCAAGGTCATTACCAGAGGCCAAGGGCTGGACAGTTTACCCACTGAAAACCAAAAAAACTACAGCTTTGCTTGATTCTCTGAAGACTTACCTAAGTTTGGATATTAGATAATATACACAGCCACAAACAGGTAAAACTTCTTATATTTTAAAACGTAACTTCAGCCACTTACGGACAGAAATGAATTCCTTCACAAAATGCATTAAGTCAAATTACTTTATTTTCTCATATGCCTAAACAAAATTCTTTCTTTGCTTGGTAAAAGGGTTTTGCCTTCTTTTTTTTTTTTTCTTTTTTGCTATATGGATAAGTACTCTCAAGCAACATAATGGCACGATGCCATAGCTGTTCTAAATATTCTTAATAGTTGGTTGGTTTCCTGTTCACACCAAATGACCTCATGTCTCTTGTGTGGCTCACAGAGCCCTAAAAGGTGCACTCTATAAAGTAGGGGGATTCTATACGTGAGAAGAAGCCCCAGTGTGGAGTGGAGGCTGTAGGCTCAAAGGGACTCACTGAAGTCACTGGTTCTCAAATGTGTCATCAGAAGCACTGGGCTGGGTCTAATCTTACCCCAGAGTTTCAAAAGTGGTGGGTCTGGAGTGAGACCAGAGAATTTGCCACAAATGCGAGTTCTCCAGCGTTGTCAACGCTGCTTTTCCTGGGATCACACTTTTAGAACAACTGCACTAACTAACATGCTCCTAGGTGCACTTCTGCCTTCTTCTGGAAACTCAGGATTTCGCAGTTGTCAGAGAAAAATGTAAAAGACCCTTTCGATGGATCTCTGCTAAAGATAGTTGCCATCTGAGAAGACTGTGAACAAAGTCAATCCATCAGAAACCAATCAACTCAGTAGGAATATCTAGTCCACTGGTTTTGGTAAGATGAGCTTGGCTGGAATACCCATATCGAGCACCCTGCACTAGAAGCTGCAGGAGATTCTAAGATGGGTGGGACTTGCATGAACTGCATTCTAAAGAGATAAAAAATGCAACTTATGACATAAACATATTTCAAAAAAAAAAGTAGGAATGACCCAGGAACGAGGACTTTCTTTCTCCCTGTTTATGGCTTCTTGAGAAAGTGAGTTCTAAGCTTCTGCTTAATGTGTGCCCCTCAGTAGAGACTATGTACGAGAAGGTGTCATGAACCCACCAGCTGTTCATCCAACAGCTGTCTGTTAGGGGTCAGGGACAGGATGCACACACACTGCCGTTAAGTGAAGGATGCATAAGACAGACACAATCCCTGCCCCCATGAAAACTTCAGTCTAGTGAGAGGTGTAAGACAGAAACTAATAACTCCAGTAAGAAGAGGCAGGCACTTGATGCTGTGCCTGGAGCTGAGAAGGGAAAAGCCATTTCAGGTGAGGGAGGACTTCACGGAGGAAGTGGCTTCTGACCAGGTGTCTGAAGAATAGACAGTAAAGGATTGAGAAAGTAAAGGATTGGGGGACAGGCATTTGAAACCAAGGGAATGCCCAGTTCAAAGGTGAGGAGGAAGGCACATATTTATAGAAAATAGGGTGGAATGAACAAGTTGGAATGGGCCATGAATTTCAGGCAGAGGACCTTAAACTTTTTAAGGGGTTTTGAGCAGGGAAATAAAATAATCAATGTCATGCATTATGGAGATGAATCTGGAAACAGAGCATGGAGGCTTCAGAACCACCCAGAGAGGAAAAGTTAGCAGGTGAGCATGAGTGTAGAGATGAGGAACATTAGTGGCTGATGAGAGGTGCCAGAAGCACCCAGAGATGAAGTGGCCAAGAGACAGCATGAAGAAAGAGTCAAAGCACTAGGCGTCATGTATGGTTGATAGAAAAAAAATCAAAGGGCAAAATATGTGTAACAGTCAACTTTGCATTATTACAATGAAACACCTGAGGTAATTAACTTATAAAGAGAAAAGGTTTATTTAATTCATGGCTCTGGAGGTTCTAGTTCAAGATCCACTGACCCCATAACTTTGGGCCTCTAGTGAGGGTAGTAGATAGCAACAATAGGAAATGCATGTTGGAGCAGACCATTATGTTATAAGCCAGGAAGCTGAACAGAGCGAATAGACTGGAATCTCACAGTCCCTTCTGGGGGCATGTCCTGGATGACTAAAGACCACCACTAGGCACAATCTCCTGAAGACAACAGGACCTCCTGATGGTGCAATCCTGGGAGACAAAGCCTTTAACATGGGCACCTGTAGGGGACACTATAAGACAAAAGAAACCAGCACCAGTGGTTGTCTTTAGGAGGGCTCTGAGTGGCTGGAGAGCAGGAAAAAGAGTGTGGCCTTCTGGATTTTTTTTTTACAGTGCTGGGGATGGAACTCAAGGCTCACACATCCTAGGCAAGCATTCTGCCGCTGAGTCCATCTCCAACCCACCTTTTGGATTTTGAGCCATGGAAACATGTTACCTGTTCAAAATAATAATAACAACAATAAACCTTAGAATCATATTTTTAAAATTAAAGGCTAAGCTCTTATTCAGATGTTCAGATGTGGGCACCCAAACCATCAGCCAAAGGACACGAGAAACTTCTTGCCATGAATTAACCCTTTGACGTGGTACACATTATTTAACCTCGTTTGGCTAAGATTTCTTTATTTATACCATAAAGGAGTTGGATTAGATCATTTCTAAGGTCTCTGAAGCCCAACCAAACTCTGATCTTCTTAAAAATATTGGGAGCCGGGAGCTCAGTCCATAAAACAGATTGTAAAACAGGAGGGGGAGAGGAACAGAGGACAATTCCAAGCATCACCTCCCCTGGCTGGGAGCAGACGATGACCCGTTGCTGACCAGGGGGTCCTCGGGAGTCGCTTGCTCATCCACTCATCTCTTACCATTCTCCATTCTCTCCTTCATCCAGTAAACATTGGCTGAGCATTCACCATGTTCTCAGCTAAGTCCTGAGCAATCAAAATCAAGCACATCATGGACCTGCCCTCAAGAGCTCACCGTCACGTTGATTTGCCCACAGATCTTGCTCTCCATTGCCAGGGTTTTGCCAATGCCTCATTTTAACCAAAATGGGAGACACTTCCACGTGAAGGCCAGAAAACATTTGATTTCACTTCCTATCCAAGTGCTTGGGGACGGGGTATAGCTGTTCCTGGCCATCCATTCCATCCCTCCTCGGCCTCTGGTAAGGGGCCTCCACCTTTCTCACCACGGTGCTCACCTGAAAACTCTACTGGGTAATATAGGATGTGAGCTTTGAAACACTCTGAACCATGCAACGTGAATCTCACCGTGGCTAGGAAACTCTGAAATAACCTTTTCTCTTTTTTGTGGTTCAGTTGAAATGTAAATAAAACATCATTCAAAAACTTAATTATATGTCACTGATTCTCTCTCGGCTTATGAAGTTGTGTCTGCTCTCAGGTAACCACAGTTGCTGGGGACAGGTGCTTGCTTATACTTGCCTTACCCCAGAAACCTTTAGGAGCTTTGAGGCCCACTCAAAACTGCAAACCATCAAAGTGTGAATTCAGTGTGCTCCGTCTTGCTCCCTAGCCCAGCTCTGTCCAATGGAACTATCTGCAATGACAGAAATGTTCTATATCTGCCTTGTCCAAGATGGTCAACTATGAGCCACATGCAACTGTTGGCCAATTGAAATGTAGACGATGTGACTGAGAGGAACCGAATTTTTAAAATCGCACTCAACTTCAATTGCTTTGGGTTTAACTTGAAATAGCCATCCGTGGCCAGTGGCTACTTCAGGTGGTTCATGGCTCATCACTACCCTTACACACTTGTCTCTTCATTCCTCTTCTACCTATGCAGAAGCTCCCTGCAGCCAGCAGTACATAATAGAACACAAGTAACAGAACAGTAAAAATGCTAGTGATGCAAAGATGGCAACCCATTTCTAGAAACTGGGCTCACTATTCAGTGAAAGAGACCATCTATCTTATAGGATCGTAGTGAAATCTGTGAACGCTCAAAGGAACCTACCTCAGGAAGTAGGATGGAGACATCAGAGAAAGGTACACAGAGAGCACGGTGATCTGCTTGGGTGAGGATTCCCCAGGCGCAGACCCTAGGTAAGGATTTGAAATCCAAGAGTTGATTCGAATGAAGCAGGAACTTCAGTAGGGAAGCAGAGAAGTAGAACAGAAGGGGGAGATGCCAACCACGGGGACAGAATCAAGTCACTTTCCATGGTGCGGGACTGGTGACTGGGATTAAAGTCACCAGAAGACTCTGGGAAACGGTGCAATACACCCGGCTCAGTCTCCACTCAAGGGCAAGGGAGTGGGGTATTTATACTCCACTTTGTCTTCATTGGTGAGCGCTTTCCCAGCTCTCTGTACTTCTGGCTCAGGAAGAGCCTGCCCAGCTTTGGGGATATCTCCTTGGGCAGCAAGCTGCAGACCCTGGACGATGGAAAGCAGCAGGTTGGGTTGAGGTGTGAAGGATGAAACACTTGCCACATATTTGGTCTCACTTTTGCACAGTTATGTCATTGAGCAGAGTGGAAGTGGGAGTAACGTTCAGGCACACAGGTCAGTTTATTGGAAGGCACCGTCACCTCCCCGTGCACAGTAGAGGACTGCTGTGGGCAAGGCCCAGTGTGACATGGGACAACAGCAGGTAAACTTGAACAAGACTTGGTGTTCACTCCCCCAACTTCCCTGTTCCTCCTCTTTTCTTGACCATTGTAAATCTACCATTTCAAAAGATGACCCTTATCCATCTCAGGAGCTTGAACTCCTGAGATTTACTCCAAATTCCAGAGCCAAAATTCCAGTCTTCACATCTGAACAAAGCTGCTTCCTGTCCTTCACAGCCTACAGGGTGTCAAAAATTCCACTAGGACTTGTGTGCACGTCTGCCCAGGTTATACGCCCCCAGGAGAGTCAGAGTCTCCATTTCTCTTTCTGTAGTCATGATTTAACCCAGGGCTGCACTAGACCTCCGGCCAAACCCACCTGCTCTGTTTTGTAAATAGATCATCGCTGGGACACAGCCTCACTCAGTTGTCTATGAATCAATGGTGGCTGCTTTTCAACATCACGGCAGAGTTGAGCAGTTGCCAGAGACTGTATAGCCCACAAATTCTTTTTTTATTTATTGTTTTTAGATATACATGACAGCAGAGTGTATTTTGACATACCATACATACATGGAGTATAACTTCCTCTAATTAAGATCTTATTCTTGTGGTTGTACATGATGTGGAGTTACCCTGGTCCTGTATTCATATATAAGGAGAGGAACGTTATGTCCGATTCATTCTATTGTCTTTCCTATTCCTTTCCCTCCTCCCTTCGCTTCATTACCCTTTGTCTAACCCAATGAACTTCTATACTAAAAAAAAAAAAAATCAATTCCTTCTCCTCTACAGAAGTTTCCTGACAATCCATGTTCCATTGGCCTTGGGTTTATGTGCACAGCCATAATAAGAGAGACTCAGCCATAATAAGAGATGGGGGTTGGGAGGATGAGGATGTGTCCAAGCTGGTTAAATCCCTACGTTTCTTCCACCTTGTCCCTGGGTGCCATTCAGAACAGGCAAAATAGAGTTAGATTGTGTATTAGCTCAATGCTGCTCACTAATGCAAAATGCCAGCAGTAGGTACCAAGACATCAAATCAGAAATTATAGTTGAGGGAACAGGCCCCCGTCGGTGGTATAGCTTAAAGTAGACTATATGCAAATTTATCCCAGAGTTGTAAAAAACTCTAGAGACCCCTCACCTATACTGGGGATACAGGGATTGGATGATGTAATTAGACAAAAGTTTGGAAAGGGGTGCTTTGTAGAGGGCAGGTATGCAGGAGTGCCTCCCACCCTGGACAGGAAGGGAGGAAGCCCTGGTGGGTGCCAGCTTCTCACCTCCAGCCATGGGACCATCCGAGGTCTTGATATAAGTCACCACAATTAAAGAGGCACCGAGTCTGATAATCCCCAGTAAATATGAAGATAAGGGACAGGCCAGCCAGCTACACTGGGAGTGGGTCATGTAGAAGAGAACAGCTACTATCTTGGAAGGTGGCCAAGGCAGACTCTGGCCAAGAACATGGAATTCTTTTTCATAGGTCAGATAAGAGAAAGATGACTGCAAGACTTCCAAGCTCCCACGAGGACTATCTGGGCAGAGATTGTCTGTGGGAGGCCAACAGAACATGTGTGTGGTCAACTGCCAAATCCACAGGGGGACCGCCAGGGGAGATGCATTCTCTTAAATCCAAGGAGTTACATTCAGCGTTCCCAGGGGTGTCTCCAGTGACCCTACCAAAGCAGTCCACAAGAGAGAGGATCAACTTTTAAACATCCACCATCCCCAGAAAGGGTGAGGGCATCCATGACAGGGCCAAACAAAAACCTTTGCTAACCTCAACTTTCCATTCCTTCCCAGCTACCATCCAATGGGAGTGCTAGAAACCATGCTTTGGCAAACTTGGGAAGAGGCCAAAATCCCAGGTAGGGAGAGAAGTAGGTCCATTTGTAAGTCCACTCTTCATGCCTCAGGGTCTCGGGAAGGTGGGAGGAGGGGGAGATTTAAACATCAAATCGAGTTTGGATTATTGTATGAGGGACCAACTCTTCCATTTCTGAAATTCTGTTCTTTGTGACTTCAAGTGGTCTTGGGACTTTTCATACTTAAGCATGATGGCAAAAAGTCATGGGACAGCTCCAGTTCACTCAGAGATAGAACTTCAGCCTCTAAATCAATTTAAAAGGAGAATAGGGCACAAAAGGAAAGTTGACATTCCAGGAGTTCTGTTGGCTCACTGTACTGGTAGAAAATCAACGCCCCCCAAAATTATAACTCTCTGAGGTCCAAGTTGAGCTTAGAGAAATTTGCAGGACTTACATGGATGTTAGGAAACCAGACCCTGGCTGAGAAATAAAACAAACAAACCAAAAAAAGCTATAAGATTAAAGGTGTGATATTACATATAAATATAAATTTAAACATGGAGGTAAATATGGGTATGGGCTTAAATATAGAACTTCCCAATAAATTTTGTGTGTCTAAATTTTGCCAATTTCAAGGTTATCCATTCGGATCTAAGCAAGGGCTAGGCCATTGGCCGCTGCCAAATGCTCAAAAGAAAGCCTGTCTCTTGTTGTCTAGACTTTTGGAGCTAAAGAAAGATCGCAGTTTTTGATGGGGCATGTTTTTTCCTGAATCAGTTTGTGGTCCTTTCCAAATCAGCGCCAATCTTCAGACCAAGTTCTTGCTCAGGTCAGCTTCCAAGGCTGTTGCAGTTGGAGGTGTGGCCACTAGGGGGCGTTGCCCAATCACAGAGCTGCAGCCCTGTGCAGGGTGTGTGACCCCCCCTGCACCAGGTGGGAGGTGAGACTCTGATGATATTACAATGAGAAACTCTGGAACACCTCAATCTGATCTTGTACACCTGTGTTACAAGACCAGGGGATACTGTGAGTATCCCCGGGAATTATGCCATGCAGGGATGACAGGTAGGGCCACAGAAGATAAGAAACATGCTTCCTCCTCCTCCTTCTCCTCCTCCTCCTCCTCCTCCTCCTCCTCCTCTTCCTCTTCTTAATAAATGACATCGGAATGCATTACAATTCTCATTACATGAATACAGCACAATTTTTCATATCTCTGGTTGTATATAAAGTATGTTGACACCAATTCGTGACTTCATACATGTACTTTGGATGATGATGTCTGGGCTAACGCCTAGTTCTCACTGAGGCAGGCCTTTGGCAAAACGAGGTATAGCTCAAGGCCTGTGAAATTCCATTATCTCCCCTAAACCAAAATTCAAATTTTATTCCAGAGGGCCACGCCCATGGCTAAAGCAAGGGGCATGTGTACACAGGTGAGTAGAAGAGATCAAAGAAAAGGCAAGGTAACAAGCAGACCTGTCCCTATGAGCCCCACTCTGATTCTGCCTTCTGCTATTTGCGGGTGGACATAGGCTGGACTTGCCAGTGTACCTTTTGATACACAGAGGCCCCAGCTCTGAAATCTGATGCTCAGAACAGCAGCTTCTCTGACTCCAGAGAAGGGAGGATGCACAGGGGCAGACGCTCTCCCCTCCTGGGTGGTTCAGTGAGGATGCTGTTCATCTGTCAACCTCAACTGGTCACATTCCCTGAGCACAGTTTCTGCCACCCCTTGCCCCATTGAGACTTAGGATTGGCAATAAATCCCGGCTGTTACTTACTCTGGGACTGTACTGTCCCTTCACCCTCTGTTCTCTTTATCAATGATCCTTGAATTAAACGTCTCCAAATTGCCCAATTTGAGTGTGCCAGCGGTTTCCTGCTGGGATCCTGAGTGTCACAAGGAGAGAACCTATAGCACAGGAAATCATAATTGGCCAAACATGAAAAAATACTGTA